AAAAAAATGCGCAACTAAAAATACCAATCGACGTGTCCGAGCGTTTTTCCGAACATGCCCCCTTTTATTTATTACCGAATTTATTCCATTTGTATGTGTTTCCTAACCTGTTTAACCTACAATATGGCATCATAGAAGATAAAGCTTATTAATTACTGAACAGTAAATTAGTAGAATTAAATTACCAAACACAACATGACAAAAATATTCACAACGTTAATACAAAAACAAACAATTTACACACTTGTTTCATGTTTTGCATAACACATGGTGTAAATAACCATGTGTGGCATTCCCATGGATGGACAGTGTTAGATATTCAGAAATAATATTACCCAAATTGAACAACTAATAACTTTTTTTATAATTTAACAACAATATATAAAATAACTATCAATCGGAGTAACTGTCAAATAACGCGTGAGTAGAAAAAGTTATCAACGAGCCGCATTGCGTCGAGTTTGCAATTCTACGAGTGAGTAATTGCTTGACAACGCAAATTAGGTAGAGGTAAGAAAGTGTCAGTTTAGATCTCTTAACTCTGCCTTTTTTCCTGCCGTTCCTGATACACCCACTTTTTGATGAGATTGAAGTATTTTTGCGATTTAAATGACAATGTCTATAGTGTTATAAAACGCCAAATTAGACTAAGTAAGATTAGAGTATGAAGTATATCTAGTACATAGATTAAGAGTTCTCCTGACAACAGATAAGTGTGAGTTATCACGTGTGACGTGATCATGTGTGACGTGTGACTTCAGCAAGCCAAACAAAAACTAATCGTTCTGTCATTGATTTTGACATGAAAGTTTTTGTTTTTAATTTTTTTGCAAAATGAAAAAACGTAGTTTAAAAGTGTAAATTTTCTGCACTAATCGCATTTGATTCGTTCAGTGGAGCTTCAAATATTTGACAGTAACACACGTGTAGCATATACTTTTGGCAAGTATTACAGTTCGAATACAGTGTCGAGTGTGACACTAGTGCAACAAATAAAATCCACTATAAATGAAAAGTAAGATCGGGATGTCGAATTTTTTTTTGATGAATGAAAAGACATTGTCAGATGAATTTTTTTGAGAAAAGTCAGGGAAAATATTGATTTGGGAACAGTTATAGAAAAGTTGGAAAGATTCTGTATGATTTTATTGTTGCTGAGTTGGAGAGTTGAAATAAAAAGACAAAGAAAGGTAAAGAAATTATTTTTATTTGAGTTAAAGAGAAGTATGAATCAGATAGCAGAAAGGAGAATTAACAAGAGGAGGAATAAGACTAACAGAAAAGTATAGGAAGATAACGAAAGAATACGAAGCAGGAGACCAGATGAGAACAGGAGAGACCAGATGAGAACAGGAGTGAGCAGAAGAGCAAAGAATAATTTAATATTTAATTTTTTTTGTAAATTTTAAGAGAACGGCCTGTTTTAAGAGTTTTTGTCAAAATTTAAATTTTTTGGATATTGGGTGTTACCATATCAGTTGATACCTAAACTCTAATTTGTATTTGTTTTACAGAATTGATTGCTAAACGACTATTGTTATGTTATGTAAGATATATTAATTACACAGTGACCTAAAAGATCTATTGGGTCCCCTTCCCCCTTCCGTTGCTAATGCCTATAACAAATGTAGGATTTGGAGTGGCTCCCAAGCTAGGTAAATCGCCCCCTTCTATTTGGTATGCCCCTAAGTATAGTGTCCTTGGATTCTGAATTGCTACACAGAATGAAAATGAAGGTTTAGTTTTATTCCTCACAGAATCTGTACTCTACTAATCTCAGTTTACAAAGTTGTCCTTTAAGTCTACAATGCCCGTTAAGGATCCGTGGTACAATGTGTATGTAGTCTGTTCTTACTCAGACAGGCTTTCAATCTGTTCTATTTACGATTATTTAAAATCACTTAAATGAAAAAATAAAAGTTCAAAAAGTAGGTATTTAAATGATAAATAACTTTGCTTTGCCCATTTTTTTACGACAATAATACACCGCATTGTGGATGAAAGATTTTGATATAAATGGTGATTTTCTCATACCTACAAATGTACAGGAAGATACAAAATTGATGAACTTATCTTTATGACAGAAAAACATCAAGATTTCGATAAAATTTTAGTGAGTTAGATGAGGAAAGAGAAAGTGAAAAAAAACGGATGGACATATAATTTTGGCCTATTTTTACACGTACTAAAGATAATTTAACAAAATATCGCTGGAAGGAAAAGTGAATTTTCAGAGGAATGCTAGAATAAAATATATTTTATGTAAATCATGATTACAAGCAATTTGGGTAACATACTTTTGTAATATATGCAATGCTACACCTGGTTATTTACGTCGTGGTGTCTACATAAGATTTGTTTCTGCAGCAGTTTCAGATAGTCAGAATTTAGTGCATGCGCAGATTGTAAACGGTTTGCTGACTATAGGAAACATCTGTAGAAATAAACCTATTTATAATAGATTTTGAAGATGGTATTATTTTTATTAGGAATTAATTAAGACTAAAAGGAAGAGAGTTTAGTAGGGAATTATTTAGGCAATAATTTATCATTAGGTTTTATACTTAATACATTTTGATGTTCCCAAAATATGTAGTTTTTTATTAAAAGTCCTTTGTATTTTACAATGATATGTATTTCTATATGTGACTGGTTTTGAAGTCTAGAACTTTATGTTCTGGCACGCCTAGTGGGTAAGAGAAAAGAATGGTAGAAGCAAGAAAACAATGATTTAATTTTAAGAATTAATAATTCTAATAGATATTTTTTTAAACTAAAAATGTTACAAAAAAACTTTTCCAACTATCCTACATCATATTAGTATATTAAAATGGTTACCTTTTTTTAGTTTAAATAAATAACTATTAGTATTGTTAATTATTTTTTACAATTAAATCATTGTTTTCTTGCTTATACCAATAGAATTTCACCATTTTTATTTTCTCTTACCCCACTAAGTGTGCCAAAAGATGAAGTTCTAGACTTTGAAACCAGTCGTATATAGAAATACGTATCATTGTGAGATACAAAGGTCTTTTTATTCCTAACCTTTAATAAACCATCTCACACATAGGTACCCCAAGTATGTAAGATTTATTTGTTAACTATAAATAAATTTTAAGCTAGTTTGTGAAAAGATCTTGAATATTAAAATAGAAAACACCGAAATAGCTTTACAAGATTAGTTAGCCCTACAAAATCGCAATAAGCTGTATTTTAACAGGTAATGGCAAAAAAGAAGGCAACAAGATTTTTTTCTATCTTAACTTTATTGTAGAGTTCTTTTGAAGATATATAAACATAAGAATAGAATTTTTAATAAATACTGGTTATAAAATAACGAGACTGATGCTCCCAGAAGTACGCATGCGCCAAACGCGACCGAGAGCTGTGTAGCGTGAAGTCTTCTCTTTCGAATGCAGCGCCTTCCGTGTATGTAGACAAATTAGTCTGGCCGTGGTCTTCGTTTGTATAAGAGCTGTTGTTTTGTTTTGCCAATATCTACCTTTTCACTACCCCAGTGTCTATGAACAAACAAACAACACTCCCATCTTAGACCGTTTCTAATTCCTCAGGAAACAGTACGTCTCTCGAACTCTAAATGGATCAAACTGCAACGCCCAAAACACTCTATAAATCCCTGGTGGCCCCACAGATAACCTATTTGAATCATATATATATAGTTATCATCCTATTTATTGTATCGTAATTTGGGTTTTCGTGGTTTCCACTAATCATATTTCCCACTTTACAATTTGGACTTGTCCTTTTTTTAAGGTTGGAAATAGCAGAATTGGCGTTACAATCTTGAGAACACAACCTGCCACACAGGTTCCACATGAGCCGAAACACTTAGGAAATTAGCTAGCTAGGTTACAATTTGTAATCAGGGCAAACCACCCTGAAAAGAAGGATAACTTCTATAGTAGGGTATCAGGAAAACAATATGATGTCCTAGAAAATGTAAGAACAAATCGAAAAGAAATGAGACATAAAAAAATTGTTGAAAAAATGATAAGTGTAAAAATAGAGCAATGAATCGTCGTAAAATTTCATATGAAACTTGGAAAAGTGCTACTGAAACTTATATTTTAGTAAAAGAAGACTGGAAATGAATTCTTATCATATGTGCGAGTTTTTGAATGGTTTAAGCGTTCCCAAGATGGCCGAGTAGACGTTGAAGATGATTCACGCCCGGGTTGCCCTTCCACGTCAAAAACGGATAAAAATATTGAAAAAGTCGGTAATCTGATTCGATCTGAACGTCCATTAACAAGTCGTGCGATTGCTGACAAGGAAATAATAAGAAAAAAAGACCCGAATTGTGAAAGAACAAGTCATAGGTTCTCCATCAAGACAATGCGCCAGCTCATTCTGCATTGTATGTCAGGACGTTTCTACAACATCCCTGTTCCGAAGGCCAAATCTGTATTAAATGGAACAATATTTCAGTCCGTTAAAGTTGTGGAAGAAAAAGAGGTACGCGTCATGAAAGAGCTCACAAAAAAATTGCATGGTGCGTCGTAGGGATAGAGGGGTGTATATTGAAGGTGATAAAAACTAAAAATGTATAAATTCAAAATAAAATGTTTTACAGCAATAGTCTCATTAGTTTATAGCCACACCTCGTATATTAACGATTATAAATTGAATAAATGAATTTTTTATATCATAAAAGGTAATCTGAGTCATAATATTCTTAATTTATAGCAGTTGCTAATAAATTTCCAATGCACGTCATCCACAAAAATATTGTATTTTCAACATGGTTGTTATGGATGACGTGATCGGATTTTTTTTACAGCTACTATAGATATTTATTCTTTAAATTTATTTAATTTTAGATACATGTATGAAACTTAATTTTATAACAGAATATTAAAAGTAAATATATAGCTCTGTATATAACTATATCCATGAATATTTTAATTTTAAAAATTAAAACGCAGCCTTCTTAGTAACCAGTACCTATAGCGAGCCAAATTCACACAGTATTATACCTCTTGCTTCTAAACTCTGTTGTATATGTGGCGGGTTCTAGGAGGTCTCTGAGGTACAACATTGGGTGGTTTCACTGACCGCCACCCTCTAATTGGAGGCAGGGGTGTATTACTTCCTATTTATTAATAAAATAATATGCATCTAGTTTCTGTTAAGAATCTAATAATGTTTAATACCTAAGTATTTTTATTTCAACTAAAAAGCTATTAATGAAGCTAAGAGAATGGCTTATACCAAAACAAAACAAATAAAACAATACTACAGACGAAAAAAAATATGCTTTCTAGATGAAATAAAAGAATATTATTAAAATATATGTATTTGTTTGCAACTTTTTTACAAAACGAATTTAGGTGTATGTTTCGGTTTAAGCCATAATACAAAATGGTAGTTTTACATTTTTACCACAATTCTTGATTATGTAGTGACTGGCAAAATTATGGAACAAATTCATTAAAAAATTCTTTTTTTTTTTCCAAAAAAATTCTTAGATTTTCAAATAGTTTTGTTTTTCCACATTTTGATGTAACATTTTCATTTTGGCACCATTTTTGTACACGCAATGACCTTATAGGCCAATTTTTAAATCTCGCCCTGATCTTATTTCAGCAATTTGCATAAGTACACTTATTGGACTGATAATTTCGGAGAAGTAATTTTTATTTTTATTACAAAATTAAAAAGATTTAGCAGAAATTTGATAATCTCTTAAAATAATTAATTTCAAGGTCAAAATTTCTTCACTCTATCAGACCTTTAATTATTTTTCTTTCAGTTATATAAAAAGAGCAAGTACCGAGATTACGGAAGTTTATTTTGTATTTATTTGTTTGCGTGTGATTTTCAACAAAAAATGGCTACAACTTTCAGTCGAGTGTTCAATTAAATCTTACAAATCTTTCTAGTTAAATAAGGCGCATTTGACAGAAACAGCAAATTGCAATTTTAATTCTCGTATGATGTGGGTATAGAACTAGAACTCAACAAGAAATATGCGCTTTGGTTAATGCATAGAATTAAGCCTGACCTATTACTCGTGGCACTGTAAGTAAAACTGAAAGGAGATTTAGAGAGATTAAACATGGCCGTCCGAAGATTAGTGACGTTACAAAAGTTTACATATTGTTCTGTGTGGAAAAAGAGCCTCACAGTTCTTCTAATCTAGCGACTGAAAGTGAAGTCAGTCAACACCCAGTATTACATTTGGTGAAGATAAAAAAAATATCATCCATTCAAAATTAGACCCGTGCAGAATGATCCTGGCCGTAGATTACTGTGATTACTTGTGAAACGTTGATGAATGTATGCAACAATAATCGACACTTTTCCCGTAAAATACTTTTTTTAGACGAAGCTACCTTCTGCTTGAATGGTACAATCAACCGTCAAAATTGTAGACAAAATGGTCATTAGATTCTCAATACCCGCAGAAGTGAATGTCTGGGCACCCATAGTGGAAAATCGGATCATAGGTCCTTTTCGACTTTGACCAGACCGAGACAAAACAAAGATATTTGAAATTTTTGCAAAACTCTTTTTCTCACACTAGCAGAAACTTGCGTATTACATGCATATTGTCTCTAGTTATTTGGACATTTGTTTTCCTGAAAGGCGGATTGGCAGAGAAGGAAGAGTGAGCCCCAAGTCCTCATTCCTCTCGATTATTACCAGAGATAACAAGAGATGTAACTACAAACAAATATCGCACTGTCGTTAGTAAGACATATTCTAAGGGACACAGGAGGGTATACTATCCGCTGTTGGGCGGGGTACAATATATAAAATGGATGCCATAGCTTGTGTAAAAATGGCAACCAAAATAAAAATATAACATCAGAATGTGTGGAAATGAAAAACAACATCACCTAAGTATTTTTTGGCATTAAAAATTTGAATTAAGCCACAAATTAGGAATATATTACAAACTGCGGTAAAAAAAGTGTATTTATCTAATAATTGACATATATAATTATTTACTAAATATTACTAATTATAACTTACCATCATCATTTGACACCTTGTTGAGGGATTCTAGGGAACCAATTCTTTGACAATCAATCTGAAAAGAAAGACAAATATGCACTTTCATGAATACATAACATCAATTAAAAGGAAAAATAGATATTAAAGAAAATGTCTTTCCAAATCAAGTAATAGGTTCATAATTATAAAATGAGAAAAGTAGAAAGAAAAACGTGTACTTTAATTAGTATATTAATTGATTTTAAATTTTCAATACTAACTTTAATTTTAAGTTCTATAATATGAAATCGACTAAAACGCTCTGAGGATGGCGAAAGTGCTAAGCTTTAAAATGTTTTCTTCTTACTTAACTCGCCTCGAAATACAGACTACTTAATTTTTAATATTACCCTCATAAACCCTGCATAAAACAGTAATCTCAAGCCAAAATAATGTTCGAAATGATAAATAATTTAGAGATACCAGAAATGCTTACTGATTCGATGGAAATGTCAATATCTAAATGGGGGTACTCAGCAACAATTCAAAATGAAAGATAGTTTATTTTAAGCAAAGGATAGTGATAAATAAGAAGACAGTGTGGTATGTCTATTGTTTAACATAGTTCTAGAAAAAAAAACATAGAGTCAAAGCAGGGCAACAGGAAGTAGATTTGGCAACTAGACCTATTAAAAAACCTAAAGAACCTTTGAGATGTTTTGAAGATGCAGTTGAAAATATGGGACAATCACTATTTCAGACTATAAAAGTATCTACGTAACTCAAATCTGTCAGGGAGTAAAAAACTTAGAATAGAAAACTGTTTGAATAAAAAATGTTTTATAAATCCTACGTCAATTGACAGCTTTTTATCCTTTGCATTTTTCCAACTAATAGTTTTCAACCAATATGTTTGCTCCAGTGCATAACTTTTGTACTCTCCTCTGGATGGTCACAAAATTGTTTGGACCAATTCAATACACAGGTGCTGATTTTGTAGGATTTATTTTCTAAACAGAAATATACACGAGTTGGAATTCTTATCAAACTAGTTGTACCTTGTACCTACTGTTTTCAATGGGCATTGACTGTTATCAGTTTTTCTTTTTCTAATCTTACTTTAGTTCAGCACCTGATACAATAATCACCAAAAACAGTCTTATTTGTTTGTTGGTATGTCTCTAACCTACTATGCAAAACCGTTTTTCATACTGTTGGAACAAAGTTGTTCTAACAAATGACCTGGTAATACCAATAGTCACGAACAAAAATCTAATAAATAGTATGCTATCAAATAACGGAACACCTTACATGAGATTCATGTGTTACGTTATCAAGCATTGCTGTTTTAAAAAAATGGTATCAAATTTATAATTATAAATAATGAACAATTTTCACCAACATGTAAAATTAATCTTTAATAATAATATATAAAGGAAAAAAATAACAATAATTATAATAATAGGTTAGGATGGATAACGCCACCAAATGGAAAATAAAACATTGATTCTGGCATCTGCATACCTTTCATCACTACCAAACGAAGAGATTGAAGATCTAATAAAAGAGTGCCTGGTATAAGCTGGTAATAGATTGGAAGATGGATCTCGATACCCTCATCAGCTGTCACAATAATGACAGTATCTACTATATAATAGCATATAATTGCATTCTAGAAACAGGGACTTTTGAGAACAGAATTTGCGAGAGAATGCAAGTATAGAACAATGGTGCAAGGATCATTCACTGTCTATCAATCCCAAGAAGACAGAAATGGTTCTTTTCATAATAGTATAAGAAAGCTAAAAACAAAAGTAGAAAATTAAAATTCAAAATTCAAAGAAAAGAAACAACATAAAATTTTCATAACTGAAATTTTTTGTTTGTTTTTAAAAAAATTTAAAATTCTAATGTCAAGATAAAATATAATATATAGAACAAAAATGTATATGTACAACATCAAGTACAAATACATCAATCGACAAATATATAATATACACATAAATTAAAATAAGTTACTTAATTCAACCGATCACAGAAAAATTCATCCAATTTTTAGTAGGCCTTTTCGAGCAAGAATTTCTTAACTTGCTTTTTAAATATGTTCTTATATTTATTAGCAGGTGGTTAAATATCTTCTTCCCGCTATATACAATAGAGACATATACCAAACCGGAACAGGGTATTGTTGGAGGTAATAATAATACATTTACATTTTTTAAAAACCAAAAGTACCATTTCTAAAATAAACAGACAAGTGAGTGTTATTATATTGTGCCTAGTAAATAATGACTTACAAGAGACACTAGCATCAACTTTGCACATATGTCTTATGGCCCTCTTCTGCAAGACAAAGACTCTAGTGAGCAACACGGAAGAACATGTTCTCAGAAACTTATAGCATATCGCAGATGGGATTCTACTAATGAAAAGAATATACTCCTTATAACCGAAATATCTAAGTTGTATGCAACAGTTTTTACTACAAATCACCCAGAGGACAGCCTCTTACATATTATTAACTAATAACGTGGATTTCAAATTTTAATTTCTGTTCAATGAATAAGCCTAAGAATTTATTTTCGGGTTTTTTGCAAATTTATTGCTGTCCAACTGAAATGATAGCAATATCGCCACTGCATAAGACTATATTTATTTTTGATATATTACGAAATAAATAATTTGAATTACACCATTCTTTAATCTTAATAATGTATTTGTTAATAGTATTAGACAACTCTTCAATATTCTCACTCTCCCAGAGTATCGTTGTATCATCTGCAAATATGGTGAAGTATCCACTAATAATATCATTAACATAAATTAGGAATAAAACCGGTCCCATAACGGATCCTGGGGAACCTCACACTGAATCATACAAAGTATTGATGTTTGCTTATTGAAAGAAACTCTTTGTACCTACTCTAGTCTCCAAATAAGACTTGAACCACTTTAGATCTAGTGGGTGTTAAAAAAACGGGTCGATAGTTAGGACACTTGTGATCACCGCCCTTGTACAAAGGTATAACATTGGCTATTTTTAAAGAATCACTGAAAGAACCTGTCCAAAATGAATGTTTGATTCTGCTAAAATATTTAAAGCATCTTCTGGAAGATATGAAAGAAGATTAACCTGAGGAATTCTTTTATATAGTAGAAGAGAAAATGGAACTAAAACCTCCAGAGCTTCTAAAAACAAAACTAAACTTTGCAACAGAGGTGAAGTACCTAGGTCTCACCTTTGATAGCAAGTTAACATGAAATTCACACCTACAAAACAGAGTCAAAAAAGCATTAATTGCTTATGAGCAATGGGGTGTCTGCCCCAGAGTCGTTACATGGACTTAACCATCGTAAAATCTATGCTAACATACATTGCAGCTGTTTGGGTATCGAAAAACCAACAATTGACAGCTATCTGCAAACTAGAACAAATTCAAAGAACAGCATGTCTCAACATAACAGGAGCCATGAAAACCACACCAGCCAGAAACATTCTTAGTCTCACTCCTTTTGATATCTACTTCAAGAAGGTTGCTCTGATGACAATGACACGACTCCTCATGGTTGGAATAGAACCACTTCCACTGCTTCAAGCGAACATGGATTCCATCTCACTTAGATACATCTTCCATATGCCATATAGTTATAACAAATGGAAGAGCCGGAAGTAGCAGGTACTATTGATATCTACATTGACGGTTTTAAATCAAAACAAGGTTCAGGATGTAGAATTCACTCCAGAGCCTTAAACGTTAACATAAAATGGGCTGTGAGCAATTGCGCTAGTATAGGTCAAACGGGCGTCACGGTGATTCTCATAGCAGCAAAAAAAGTTACCAGAATTCATTCACACTGGGCACCTAGGTATTGTTAAAGGTCGCGAGCGTGCCAAAATGAGTGTATGGTGGTTTGGACAGTCAACTCAAATAGAAAATTTGGTAAAGAATTGTCCAAATTGTATTGAAAATCGAAAAAACATAAAAGAAACCTTCTACAAAGATAGAACAGTTAGTAGACCATGGCAGAAAATTGCTGTCGATTTCTTTAAACACGAAAAATGGTTTATGATAATAGTGGATTACTATTCGCGATATTTTGAAATTTTTGAGTTAAGTAGTTTAACCGAGGAATCTATTATTCCTAAAATGAAAGAAATGTTTTCTAGATTTGGTATCCCGGAGGTAGTGAGATCGAATAACGGTTCGCAGTTCTCTCGAAAATTTAAAGAGTTTGCAAAAAAAGTATGATTTTATTCATGTAACTTGTAGGGGTAGAAAGGGCGGTACAAACAGCTAAGCGTTTGATAAAAAAAAATAAGGATGAGGACATATTTCTAGCATTGTTGGCTTACAGAACAAGTGCTTTAGAACAGGGTTTTTCACCAAGTGAACTGTTAATGAACAGAAAATTAAGGTTAACACTTCCTATTCTACCTAGCAAACTGGACGAAACATTGAACAGCAAGTCCGTGTTTTTACAAAAAGAAAAATATCTTAAAAATAAACTTGAAACTAACTATAATAAACGTCACAATGCTAGAGATATGGACATGCTAAATATTGGGGACTCAGTATGGGTTGTGGATATACGAAAGTATGGAAAAATAATAGAAATTTGCGATGAACCACGTTTGTATATTGTAGAAACCGACGTGGGCCAATACCGGCGAAATCGGTGGCATTTAATTGAAGCTCCGTATTATTTTCCAAACACACATACTGAATTACCAATATTACCTAGTTTAAGCGGTGATTTATCTTTTAAAGCGCAATACCAAGAGGATCATAATCCTCCTGAAAACTTCCGTGAAATAAATGAACAAAACGAGAATATAAGTGCTAGTGTTGATAAAGAAAATATTTCTAGGCATCACGAAAGTTTCGGTAGTGAAAATAACACAATGAATCCAGAGGAACTGTTGCCTTGCAGGCCCAAGCGTAATATTAAAAAGCCTGCTTATTTATCAGATTTTGTTGATAGCTTTGTTAAGTTAGGTTAGTTTAAACATATGTATTTTCTTTTTAACCGACTTCAAAAAAGGAGGAGGTTCTCAATCCGTCGCGATATTTTTTTTTATGTATGTTCAGCGATAATTCTTTAACGCAGGGTCCGATTTCAATGATTCTTTTTTGTTAGAAAGGGGGTACTTCAAGGGTGGTCCCATATAAATTTGGTCAAAATCTAATAATTGAGTCCACGAGAAAATCCTCAAACTCTTCATTTTTTATGTATGTTTAGCGATAATGCTTTACCACCTTGTCCGATTTATAGGATTCTTTTTTTGTTAGTAAGGGGGTACCTCAGGGGTGGTCTCATATAAATTTGGTTAAGATGTGGTAATGGCATCTGCACGTTTTTGAAGTCGGTTTTTTAAATTTTTAATTTCTAATACTTGTGTTACAAAAAAAAGGGGGAGATGTGCCATTAGGACTACTGGGTAGGCAACTCGTCTTGCTCCGAGTTGGGTTGCCTCGACAGTTGTAACTCGGTACATGGAGGGCTACGCATGGGGGTTTTTAGAGGTTGTAAACGAACCAACAATAAACCAGTTAAATAAACCTTTCTTTGTATATTTCCTTCGAATAATACGACAAATATCACTGGTAGAAACATGCTCATCTATACAGAAAGTATACAAGTACTGCTCATCCTGGACAGACCATTTACTCAGGATTAGTACTAGAATATCACGAAGTTTTGGCAGAAGTGTCCAACAATAATGTTAAGATACATCGAAAGGTCTTGCTGTTGCACTAGCCACAAAGGCAGCCAACCAAATACTTTTTGAACCTGGCCCTTCCATTGGTCTAACAACTTCGGTAGTAGTAAACCTAATGGGATGAAACAAGACGCTGTAACATTGCCAGAGAGCTTTTAAGTTATCCCGACATCACTACAGCAAAAAAAAATACTTGACTATGACTAGACACAATCTGCACCTGATCTCACAGGCACTTCAAATGGTCATTGCCAAGTCATGGGGCTGTCAGAATTCTCACTCTGTAGGGGATATGAACAAGAAGATGATACCTTCAAGCATATCCTCTAGGATTGTCCCACGCTCTCATTTATTAGAAAACTTGTAATCGGCGAGTATTGGCTAACACCCGTCGATATAAGATGGCGACGTTGTAACTACATTAAATCTGTAGGTTGGGTGACAAGACTATCAATTTAGGAGGAAGCAAAATGGGCCTAGTGAGACCTAAGTGCCGTGGGGTAATGAATTTAAAAAAAAAATCACTGAAGAAATCGAATTTAAGACCGAGGGCTCAGAAATTATAATCAAACTTTGAAGTTCCAATTTAACACCTAATACCCAAGAAGTGCCCAAAATGAATCTAGAAAGATAAAATAAATAAATTGTAGTAACATAAATTTCACCTCCAAATTAACATATAAATTATTAGAAAAAATAATTCCAATTGCTCAAATAAGACCAGTTTAAAAATTAAGATCAAAGGAAAAGAGAAAATCTCTTAGTCCGTATCACAGTTAAGTCGAGCGACCGTTTCCCTCCTGAAAACAACTACTTCTTTGGCTAATATCGCAACATGCATTGCATTATATTAGGAGGAAAAAGCGGAGAGAAAATAATTTTCAACATTCAAGCTTTGATTTTTAAGGAGAAAGTCATACTTGGATCGGTTTAGTCTTTCTACCTACTCTTTTTCAACCATCTTTAATACATACGAGTGAAGGTAACACATCAAGCAGACTTCCTTAGACTGAAGTCGCGATTGTCTAATGCTTGCTGATGAGTCCTAATAAGGACGAAACTGGTCCACGTTTGACTTTCTCCTTAGGAAGCAAGATCAAAGCTAGAGTGTGAAAAATTATTTTTTATCTCTGCTCGTTTCTCTTAATATAATGCTATGCCCGTTGCAGTATTAGCCAAAGGAGTAGTTGTTTTCAGGAGGGAAACGGTCGCTCGGCTTTGCTGTGACACGGAATTTGATATTCATATAAATTATTGTTTGCTTGCGTCTGTTAATAAAATTCTATTTTGTTTTATTTATACCTGTAACACATAATAAGTTTACTTTCTTTTTATTGACATCTACAATTAGTATTCAAAAAATATGTACAACGTTTTTCTTACCTCATTTTCGTATCTGACCTTCTTCCCATTCGAAATATCTTTAGAACTCGAGTTGATGTTTTCTACAGAACTACCCCTTCGAATGTTTCCCTTAATAACACCAGGTATCCTATCATTAAGAGCACTATCGGTCACGTCACCGTAAGCACCCCCACTACTCGCGCCCTTCACTTGTTTGCCACTATCGTTTTTCACAAATGCGAAATCGTTACCATTTTTGCTATATTGCAGCGAATAGTTATCCACTGATGCGAGGCTGTTGCGATTAGGTTCGGTCGCGTTGTTAGTCCTCGAAAACACATTGGTAGCACTGTGAGTCTTCATGAGATAGTGCGAATCTGGTTTTAGTGAAGACAGTCTCATGTTTCGATTGAGTGTATTCGATGAGGAACTCAGCTGACCCATTGTTCGTGGATCTAGAAAAAAAAAACCCTCTAAAACAAATTGTCATATTGTAGACGAGAAAAAGTTATGAAATGCCTTATTTATGTAAAAAGTGAATATTTGCGGGACGAGCAGAGCGAGTTACATAAAACGGCATTTCGTAACATGTTACATACAATATTTTTTCTAATTTTGACTAGATTAATTATTTATAAAATTGTGTTTTGGTTAGACATTACTGACATCTAGGCAACCAATATTACTAACTTTCTTGTATTATTAGTTGCATATGCATCATTTTATTGACAAATAGAACATAAAAACTGGGTTATTTTGTCGTGTGTCGTATATTGCGTTTTAATCTAGATTGTTTTAAACAAATTATATTTATATAAGTCAACCTGCATTTATTTGGCAGAAACTTTCGATAATTTATATTGACACTTGCTGCGATTACAAAAAATGTCACTATATATGTAAAAATTAGAAAAAAAATCTGTTTACTTTATGTAAAACTAACACTACAACTCTTGTAGATAAGAGATTTCAATAAATTGAGCTAAACTTGAGACCATCCCATATTTATAGTTGTTATAGCCTCTATTTTACCTATTTCTCGTCTATAATAATTTACTAACGTGTCCACCTCTACTTATTTACACACATCAACCAAAACATGAACAACAAAATTTCTTATCAGTGTAGAGATGGAAAGATAGTATTCCCTATAATTGGTACAGTAGTGGACATATTTATATATCAATTATTTATATATTGATTATAACTGACAAATGTTTTAAATCTGAATTAATCAAGCAAGAAAATCGAGTACTTTGGCGGAAATAATGGTGCAGTTATTCAACACCCATTACTTGAAAGTAAAATATGTCAAACACTTCATGAACAGGAGTAATAGGATTAAAATTCGATTCATATTGACTTTGAAAAAAACAGGATACTCATTTTTGAGACCAGCAAAATTCAAAAATGAATTCTGAAATTATTAAATCAACAAAATTGAGTTGTGTCGGTATTATCGCAAATGAGCCAGAAGAGTAATAAAATAGTAATTTGACCTAATCGAGTAACGTATTACAGCAAAAATAAACTCAAAATACGAAATAAAACACTTTTAGATAGCCAAGAGATGATATTGAAACTGTAGAATTTAAATTTAAAATAAAATTAAATTTAAATGAAAGTGACAACTCAAAATTGACATATTTTCAGTTAATACTTAATACGTTTAATGTTATAGTAAACAACACTATATCAATCATCAAAATTGTTTTAACTTTGTTTTGATGTAGGGTTGTTTAGTAATTCCATTCATGATTTTAACCACTCAAAGATGTAAATTTTGAGTTGTGTCCCTTTTGAAGCAATCATGGGAAATCTGGAATTCCCTAGACAATAGGTAGTGATATATACATGCTTTTTGTTATGCAAGAATTATACATTTTTTTGCATATATTGAAACAAATTTATATTATATGTACCTATATTAGTAACAGATATTTCTGTTTTCCTCGGTAACTGCAACATGGCTTCAGTTTCTTGTCGAAAATTTTCTATTCTCCTATAAAAGTCATCTTTGTCCGAAGAATATTTGAACCAAGGAACCTTTTCAGTCGAATTGGACTTTTTTTCTATATCCATTACAGTGGTTGGTATATCCGAGGAAGATTTTTCATCTGGTAATGAACACTGAAAAACAAATCATTATAACATTTCGTTGGAAAAACTAATAACTTAATATTTTTGAAATGTATATATTCCAGTTTTTACACCAAAGTTTAAAAAAAAAATTAAATAAAACCCTGCATAAATAATAATTGCACTGTTAGATGCAACCCTAATACCATTTTATAGCAATTTCATAATTAGGGTAAAGAATGAAACGAGAACGTGAGTGTATAAAACTAAAATTTATAAGGCATTCCAAACAAAATGGCTACCAGTGGGTTTTGACAGGTTATGATATAGCAAAATTATGGCAACCCTGTAGGCCTGGTGATTTGACAAGGTCAATGAAATAGATAGTTACATAGATTGATCATCCATATTTTTCTAAATAAACTTAAGCTTCTGCCTTGAAGTAAAAATGTAGGATATTATGTTTTTTACTATATTCAAAGGCTAAATATTGATTTGTAAACACGTTTTTGCAAAATCGATTCTGATTAATGAGCACTTGCGAGGCAATATGGCCGCTCATAAACGACCCGCTTTGAGCAATCTATATAACTATATATGTATCATTGACACTGTCAATGACAGGCTCACAGGGTTGTCACATCTAAATGTCAGTTCCCACTTGTCAGCAGTTTGACAGGAATGCCTAATATAAAATCAGGATAATGCTTTACAAAGCCATCATCACAGGCTTACTGAAATGGTGTTACGAACATATAGTGTTATATTAAAATAGTAAACTTACATCCAATAAATACCTCCACAAAAAAAAATTAATAATTTAAAAGAAATTATACAGGAAAACATTAAGTAAAAAAAAAGATATGGTCAGATTCCATTTTTCACGAGCTGTTCAATGACCCTACACACGACATACCTTTGTATTTGAAAAAAAAGTTGGGTAGTGATGTAGCTAAGGGGTTGAAGAAAAAAGTTTCATTTTATTGGCAACAAATACGTCCAATGTAAAATCAATTCACGTGTTTCAGCGTTTTTCAGTTACTGGTTGTTCAGATAATTATTTTATTCCGGACTTTCGCGCAACTCTGTAGAATTATAAGTATGGGTTGAAAGAGTCCGGTTGATACCTAATAAATAGATTTCCTTCTTCATTAGACATTTATCAAACTTGAAATGTTATTACTAGCATTGTTAACGTGTTTTTATGTTAACTATAAGTATAAAAAAGAATGGAATAATCCATTTGGTAGTATACAAACATTTGCGGGAATACTTTACCGAAAAAAAAAAACTTTTCATCAACCAATCTGGTTTCAGACCTCAACATTCGTGTGAATCAGCCATTCAGCTAACCGTCACTGAATAGAACAATAATGAGTAAAGGTATGTATACTATTGCATATACTATTGATGTAGAACATGAAGTTCTTCAGGAAATTCCTTTGGGTCCTTTAACTATTTTTAATATATGTTAACTACACAGAACATTTCAATGAATGAGTACATACACCTCTTTGCTGATGATACTTTAATATCAGTTAGTGATAGACCTAAGTATTACCATACAAAAAATGAATAAATTTAAATTATGTGTTGCCAAGACGAAAGGTATGATGTTGCCAAGACGAAAGGTATAATAACTATACCATTTACGTATAAAAATAGAAATCTTAATGAAGTCATAATTTTTTCTGTACTTATATGACTTAGTCTCCGACAACATTGAAGCCTCATGGCCTATTTTAATTGACCCACATTAATTCATAGTACTCACTCTTTAGTCATTTGTATAAGTTCGTACAAGTCATTTTCAGGGTGTGTTCTATAGATACTTTACCTTCCCCTTAAGTTGGACGTTTTCACCTTAGAGGTTTAGCAGTTTTAGTCGCTCTTACTTTCTCCTGCGCGTAAATTCAATTAAGGTAGATTTGTTGGGACTAATTTTTAGTCCTTCCTTTTCTATTTTGTTACTGTGTTTAGAGCCTCTTGCATATGGTATGTGTTGTGCATTATTTTTGAGAGTACTAAACAGCCCATCCATGGCTCCGTTTCACAGGAGTAGACAGTAACCCTCCCTCCCTCCCTCCCAGATCTACTATCGTCTCTCACATAATAGTTGCATGTATCATTCTCCCTTTTAGCATGGAGTCTATCCAGGTCACACATGTATCCTCGATTCCTCTATGTTCTGATGACAGAGTCGACGGAGGTATTGTCGTCATTAAAATAGAAGACAATATTGTTGAGTGGGTAAAGGAATTCAAATACTAGGGTTTTATGCTTTCTATATCTATCTTTACTATCTTTCAATAGTCATTTTAATTAATTGTAAAAGAAAATGTTGAATAAATTATATTTTCTTTCGAGAATCTCACATTTTACCATGAATTTCAGGATAACTTTATATAAAAGCTTACTTTAAATATTGCCCTGCCTTTCTATAACGTTTTTGACTTAAATAAACTTAAATCTACAAAAGCTTCAAAACTGGGCAATGAGAACTATTTTAAGATATAACAGATTTACTCCAATATCTTAATGCTGGAGACCTTAGAGTGGTTACCCGCAATGTGCTGTATCTATAAAATGGTTCATAATTTTCTATCTTCCTATTTAGAATTTTTATTAGTTATCAATTTCACAACTACAATACCAGGCATAAGGATAATGTATATGTTAACAACACAAAAATATTAACTTTTAAAGGCTTTATTGATTATAACAATTTGCCAAATTATATTAAGGGTTCTAAGACTAAATCAATTTAAAACTCATATAATGGATTATTTATTTAAAAAAATATATATAAAGGTTATATTGTTATTAAGCTTAATTATTACACTCGTTAATTTCAACTATGTTATAGTTTGTATTTTTTTTTATTTTCTTTTGTATTTTCTTTCTTTTTATATCATCTATGTTACTCATTTAAATGTAAATTTTGTATAATAGGTAGTATGCTACTTTCAAAAAATAAAGATTATTTATTTATTTATTTATTTATTTTAACTATAGTTACAGTCATTAATTTTAAATAATTTCACTTATCAATTCACCAACACTGAAATGAAATGAAACATCCAAAGAGACTGACTAGTAGAAGATAGTGCATACTAGATAGAAGAGGGTGATATACCTAACTTGAAGCCACTCCACATCCTACATTTCCCTAAGAAAATAGGATTAGAAGAGTCGTTATAGGCATCGAGACTAATTCCGTGCTGCATTAGCGACAGAAGGGAATACAATAGATCTTTTATGTTTCAGTGCATTAATATCCCATATCCAACAACAAAATGGTAGTACCTTGTACATAATTTATTTTTGAGTTTATAGAAAAAAAAAACGTATTTTAGGCTGGGGCTGACAGCTATATGTATGATGTTGGTAGCAAAATTTAACACTCACTGTACTCGGATAAGAAAAGACTAACTGAATTCTAAATTCTACCGATGTATCCTGACTAGCGAATAGATATATTGTAGAAGGGGCCGCGACATGTTCACAGAGCGAAATTAAAATACAGGGTGATTTGTATAAAATATTTTGTTTTGAGAAAAATAAATTACTTTAAAAAGTGAAAAACAGGTTTATCATGCAATATGTAGTGAAAAAAAGCGAAAGTGTGTGTTGGACTAGTTTGTGACATTTTGTGAGATTTCATTTTGTGATCGACGACCATTTACACCAAACAAATGCAGAAAAAAAAAGTTTGTTAAAAGCATTACACGAAAAATGTGAAAATTAATATACAGAAATAATCCACTGGACCATAAGAATATAAACATCGAAAATACTACTTCTGGCAAGGAAAACAAATTGAATAATCCGATGTACTTACTTCTTTGAGATCTATTGGTGAGAATGACTGTGAAGGAAAAACTTTGAGGTTGGTAGGCGAAATAGCGTCTTCTTTGGATTCTTGCATGGAACTTAATGGCTTGTGTGGTTTCCTTTTTACTTTTCTCTGTGCAGCCGAAATGATTGAAGATAGTAAAGCACCATTCTTCTCTTTGTGATCTTTCAAAACTAAAAAAAAAAAAAAATGATTTTATCAACATTTATTGCATAATAATAGTCTTCCACAAAAATGTTTCTAAAGTATGCCATGACCTAAAAAGACAAAAATACGAGTCATGTCCGTGATAAATACGCACAACTCTGAATTAAATCCAAAGCAGAATTGTATGCTCCGACATGCGTGAATTTTTTTCAAAGATATACTTTAGAAATATTTTCTGCAGATCACTTCTATTTAATACAAGTCACTATTTTCTACAAGTCAAAAGTTGTTAGGGGGTTCTCAGCCTCACTGCACTTAGGTCTAATTAGTTATATTGTGCATACTCCAGAGGGCATATAGACACTGCCTCTCGGTAAAAACCTTGCTTACACAAAGTGGTTGATATCGTCGACGTAAAATGTCTAGCTATCTCTATTCTTTTAGGCACCTCTTACGACAGGCTGAACATACCTGGGATATATTCTATTTATTTTCTCCATACTTATAAATTAAAACATTTTAACTTGTTCTATATATTTTGCTGGAGTTGGTTTGGTGCGATATTCCATTTAATTGATCGTCAAAATGATAAACGCGGCAAATGAGGAGCATATTAAATAAGACAGCAGTGAAACTCACTTGTCAGGAACTGTTTATACAGAATTTCGTACTGACGCTTTACAGTACTGGTTGGATATTTTAAACATTCAACCAATCAATTGAATGGAATATCGCACCAAACCGACTCCAATAAAAAATTAGAATAAGTTAAAATTTTTATATTTATTTATCATATTTGTAAGACTAGCAGATTATATTTACATATAACACGGTCTGAAAAAGTATCTTTTTAAAAAATAATAATTTAAATTTACCTCCGCATTTAGTTATGTTATTTAATAATAGCGTTTGATTGTTTTGGTCAAACTCATCAGACCCATCTGCGAAGTGAGTATCAGGTACAGGAAGGTTTTCTTCATTTTCATTTTCTGGGAAAAACCATTCGGACTGAAAATAAAAAATATATATATAGATTTTTACTATTAAAGAATTGGTACTATTAAAGAATTGATATATTTACATATTTTATGGGATAATTTCTTTAAAATGTTCATGAAGTCTCACCTTTAAAATTATTGAGAGTGAATAGAATAGTATTATTCATTGAAATTCTCAGAATATCTTATTCAGACATTAGAGCCGTTTATTTTGAAAGTGGCCTAAGTCCATTTATACTTAAATTAAGATATCGATAATGTCCGAAGGCAGTGATGAAGGTAATTTTAATTAATTAGTATTTAAGAAGTCAACCTCAATTTTTGGACAATTGCATTAGTTGAATAATCAGTACGTTTAATTAAAGCAGTTTAACAAAATTTACAGAAACTCTTAGATATCTCAATTTAAGTATAAATGGAGTTAGGTCACTTTCAAAATAAACGGCTCATTAATGTTATTGTCCTGGACTTATAACACATAGTTAAATGTTTCCCCATCCTTATTGTGTTTTGAAAAATACATAAACAATATTTGATATTTTTGTTTTTTAGACAAATCGTTTGATTTTTACATAAAATAATATCGATTATGTCTGATTGGTATGATATAATATCACCTACTACAGGTTTTAAATAACTGCCTTCGGCATAACTTACATAATATATTAATAATACAAATCTCTCAAGAGGCTTAATAAAATAATGAAGAACAAATTACAATACTGCTCCTTAAAAACAGAATGGTATATTACACATTGTAACTATGTAACTATTTTGATATTGTTACAAACTAAGTAGGTAACAAGAATAATTTTTCTATAAGTATGAATAAGATTGATAATTTAATACTTACATGGGTTAACAACGTTTCAACTATCCTGTACTGATTGTTCATGTGACTAACCATACTTTCCATATTCTCCTCTTCTGGTCTGACTATGGTGGGACCAAAGACAATAGCAAGATTTTTAAAGTCCATCTTATTCACGTGAGAATTATCTGCTATTCGCCTTAGATGCATCACTATGTGTCTTAATGTATAATAATTGTGCCTTGGAAGACTCTTGACAAGCTTTTTCAATTGCTCCATCCTTTCTCTAGGATTTTCTATTTTATCTGCTTTAATGAAACTTGGATATAACTGTACCGTGACGAGACTATTTGGCATTTTCCTAAAGTAGGATTTTAAAAGACTACTGACTACGTGTAAGTCTTTCCATCGAGGATCTTCTTGAGGAACATCATCATAATTTCGGTTAACCTCTTCTGTTAAAGCAGTGATTGATGCATTGTTACCAGGTACTCGATAGATGCCAATTGTTTGTAGTCCTCTTTCGTCTATTATGTCTGTGCAAATTTCCACAAACCTGGGAAGATAAACATTACTAATAGACGGTATACAATCTTCAATTGGAATTCCGAAGGTCGATCCTTCTGGTGCTGTTGGACTGCTCGGGCTGTTATTTCCTTGGTTGAACTTTCTAAACTGTTTGGCCATTCTGCCGCGCCATGTTTTCGATTTAGGACTGGTAGCTGTTGCCGATATTTCTGTTGGTATTTGGGATGGTTTTCTACTCTTACTTACTGGTGACTGGCCAGTTGGTGAGCGATTTCGGGAAGTGGTGGCTTTCTGTTTATTCAATTGTGGCGAAAGGTGACTGCCTTGGACTTGAATAGAAGTTGAAGCAGCTACCAGTTGTGGTACTGCTTTTTGAAGGCTGCTAGGAGGTTCCTAAAAAAATATTATACTGATTTAGGAAATTGTAAGTAGAAATAACCTTAAGTAAGTTGATATACAATATGTGCAAATTCATTTAGACATAATAAAAAATTAATATAATATGTAATAAAAATATTTGAATTTAAGGAATAATATAGAATAATATTTTTCGAACTCTATCTTCACAATATGTTTCTCATGGTGTATCATAAAGTAATTTGTGTGACTAAAAAGTTATACCGGGTGAAAATGAGACTAGGGTCACGTTAATCTGTTTCATTTATGAAGAAATTTGGATCAAATTTGAAACAAACATACTAGACATGGTTGCCTTCCGATTTTACCGGCCATGCCTTAATTTCGAATTTTTAAATGGAACGTGTAGATGATGTTTTTTTGGAATCTACGGGTCAAAATACATAGATGGCAATGTAGCCAGTTTTTCATTTTTCCCAAATCTATTTTTTATTTTTCTATTTTTTTGGTTTTTTATTTTTTCATTTTTTGTATTTTTTTTTGTTTTGAAGGCCATGAACTGGAAAATATTGTTGCATGGTTTATATTGTTAGATTGGTAATAAAATTATCAATTTAAAGGCAAAATGGCCATCAAAAAAAGTGAGATTTTGGTGAAAACACGTTTTAGAAATTTATTTTTTATCGAAAGGATTTATTTTTAACTCAATTGGTAAAATTGGTTTTATTTCGAGTTATTCGAGTAGTTTTCCAGTTCAAGACCTAAAAAAAAAATGGGACAAAAAAGAAAATTTGGCAACACTGTCATATATAATTTGAAGTGTAGATTCAAAAAATATATATATACAATTGAATAAAAAATAAAACTTAATGGGATTTCCGGTAAAACTGGAATCATTCATTTTGTTTAAATATAAGTATCAATTGGAAATTTTGTCTAGTAATTTTGTTCAAAATTTGATCCAACGTGGCCCTGGTCTCATTGTCATTCTGTATTTACATGAAAATGTTTCAGCAGAAGCTTTTGTAATATTTTCAAAACCGAGAAAAAGTTTCCGATATCAATGTCGTTATGTGTTTTAGATCATTCTTAACATGTTTGATTCCGTTTTTTGTTTTATCTGTAGGTCTGAAAAAATAAAATAGGGGTATTAAATTAAACTTTGTTAAGATAAAAAAAAAAAGATAATTCCCTGCGACACACTAAAAGGGTTACTTACAAAAAAGACGACGGGAATAACGATATAAATTTAAGATATTTTAATTCACCTTTCTACATAAGTTTACCGTGTTCACCACCCATTTTTGTATGTTCCTATCAACTTTATGATATAGTTGTATACATATGGAAAACTGTTTTATCTGTCGTTTTGCAGGAAATGTTTATATAAATAAAAGTTTGTGCATGAAAAGAAAATAACTTTGACCTATTCGAAATATGTGCTCAATATACAGGATGTTCTAAGAATCTGGAAGTATGACGATGATAAAATCAAAAAGTTGTTCGAACTGAAATAACTTTTTGAGCTAAATTGTGAAATTTTTGGGTCCGTTTTTGAGCCTTTTGATGGAATTAAACATTATATGGGAACTTTGTGCCCATGAATTGGCAGAGTATATCTTAATTTGTTATACATAGAAAAAAAAATGAAAACTATTTAATTCCTATTTTGTTTTTAGCCCAAGCAATAATTCATTTAGGACAGGGGTTACCTGTGGAAAATTAGAATAAAGCTTCTAATTGGTAAGTTTGTTCAATTCTAGGTCCAGATGATCCTCTTTCAATTGCTCCCGGGCTATCTGGCTTTCATATTTTTTAAGGGTGTTTTTTAAAAAATTATTGTCCACCCTTCATTTAGAGATTTTTGATAAAAAACCCTAAGAGTACTTATGCTAGTATTTATAGTTTACCCTCTAGATTCTAGAACTAGAGTGTACTGAAGAGAAGCATGTCTTGACGTTGACGGCCACGCTGCTATGTTTTGCATTGCTTTCAATTCATGAGCGCTATGAGCCGAACGGGTGGTCGAATTGAAATTTTTAAAAAGACGCATTATACCTGAATAAATATATTTTACAACACTTTTTTATTTGTGTAAATAGCTTCACAATTAAGATAATGGCGAGCGTTCAAAATCGGCTGATAATTGTAAAATTCATCAATATTACCCCTATTTTGTTACATTTATAATTTCCCTTGAAAACAAATTATCCCCGACAATTAGAAATTTAGTGTAGTTCATGTTCCTCAAAGGGTGTATTTTTAATGTGAATACTGTAGGACTGAGACGCGATTAACAGCGCGGGGCCATAGGTCAAGAAATTCTGAAAATTAAAAATTGTCGTAGAGCGCTGAAATTTTGCAGGTAGACTTAAATAAATTTTGCGATGAACATATCCGAATTTAAATGGAACCCTATGCTAGCTCGCTTCGGGGAATTTAATTTAACTTTTCTATTTAACATTTTCTAGGATTGATATTTCCACAGTTAGTTATTTATTACCTTTACATGTTTCTCCTATTACATTACATTATTAGAAATTATTAAATATGGTGGTATGTTTTATTGCAGTTTTCATGTTTTGTGTACAAAAAAATAGCCTGTCGACTTGGTTCTAAAATGTCTCATGCATAAAAGGCAATATAGATTTTCTTAGCAATTGTAAGAACGGGAACACATTTTATATACAAAAGTTTTCTGTCTGACATTTTTTTAAAATTTATTAAAAAAAAAAAACACTGTTGGAATCAGTTTCGTCCTTATTATGACTCTTCAGCAAGAAAAAGAAATTCTCGACTCCAGTCTCTAATGGAGTCTGATTGCAATACCAAATTCGATCGAACTCAATTACGGCGGGTTGAGCATGAGTAGATATTCAACGAGCGAAAACCGGTCCAAGAATGACTTTCTCCTTAGTGGGCAAAATCAAAGGTAGAGTGTTGAAAATGTTTTCTATCTCTGCTATTTTCTTTCGACGTAATTCAATACCTGGTGAGGTATTAGCCAAAGGAGTAGTTGTTGTCGAAAGAGAAACGGCCGCACATATATTGTTGCGACTATGGCTTTGAGAATTATTTGATGTATTTTACATCTAGTCACATTTGAGTTTGGAATTATTTCCTTTTTTGTTAAGAATAGCCAGTTGGGCTTTTATTCCACCTAGTCTTTGAACTAGGTACCTACTACAGCGACCTTTGATTTTGCTTACTAAGTATAGATGGCGATACCATTTTCGCTCGTTGAATATCTACTCATGCTCAACCCGCCGTAATTGAGTTCGATCGAAATTGGTATTGCAATCAGACTCCATTAGAGACTGGAGTCGAGAATTTCTATTTCTTGCTGAAGAGTCCTAATAAGGACGAAGCCGGTCCAAGAATGACTTTCTCCTTAGTGGGCAAAATCAAAGGTAGAGTGTTGAAAATGTTTTCTATCTCTGCTATTTTCTTTCGACATAATTCAATACCTGGTGAGGTATTAGCCAAAGGAGTAATTGTTGTCGAAAGAGAAACGGCCGCACATATATTGTTGTGACTATGGCTTTGAGAATTATTTGATGTATTTTACATCAAGTCACATTTGAGTTTGGAATTATTTCCTTTTTTTAATAATTATTTTGTTTAAATCACTCCAGTTTTGTGCATGTAATATTTAAAGTTGCTGTTTAAGTGATTATGTTAATGTTTATCAAAACGTTTAGTTTGTAAGATCAATATTTAACCTAATCGCTAAAAAAACATGAATCGAGCATGCCATTTAAGCAATAATGAATGTGTAAGAACTGCAACTTTGCTAGAAGTGGGAAAAAGTATGCTTTATGTGGGCAATTTGTTAGGTGTTCATCATTCAACAGTTAGTCGAATGGTTAGAAGATTTAGGAAAACTGGATCTCATGTTAGAAATCGTGGTCAGGGCAGAAAGAAGGCCACAAGTCAAATTGATGAGCACTTTCTCCGACAACAGGTGTTAAGAAACCGAACTTGTACAAGTAAACAGCTAAGTAATCAACTTGCAAATGTTAGAAGACCTGTCACTGCACCATTGCTAACCGTAGATCACAGATCACGCAGATTAAGGTTTGCCAGAGTAAGTCTAAAATCTCCAGACGGTCGTGATAAGAGTATGGCGGAGACCTGGAGAAAGGTTTTGTGATTGCTCTTTAAGGGAACCATTTGATGGTGGATCAAAAATGTTCTGGGAAGGAATTTGTTTTGAAGCACGCACAGAATTAGTCCCCATTCGTCCACGGTCTATGAATGCAGAATTCTATCTAGAAAACATTATTCAAGACCATGTTATGCCGTTTGCGTCATTTATAGGAATACATTCATTTGTATGCAAGATAATGCAAGGCTTCACATCGCAAACCTGTGTTAGATTACCTAAATGAGATTAATATTCAAATCTTAGAGTGGCCACCACGAAGTCTAAATTTGAATCCAATTGAGCACCTTTGAGATGTTCTGAAAAAATCAGTTCGGCGTCATGTACCTGCCCCAATTAACGCAAGAAGTGGAGCATGCTGTTCTGTTAGAATGGAAAAACATTCCGCAAGCAACCATTCAGAACTTGCCCAGATGAATGCAAGTGGTCATAAGAGCTCGAGGAGGTATTAAGCGTTATTGGGGTCTATTCTGTAAAAATTCCTTTATATTTAACGGCCTTTAAAAATATTTTCTTCTTTACTTCTTTCATTATTTAAACGGATCTTTAAAATACATTAGAAGATTATCTTAAAGAAATCAGTTTAAATAATGACAGAAGTAAATTAACGAATACAAATATACTTTTAAAGGCCGCCAATATTTTTAAATGCCTTTAAATATAAAGGAATTGTTATAGAATAGACTCCATTGGGGTCTATTCTGTAAAACATCCGTTAAAATTTAGAGGCCTTTAAAAATTTAACTTTTAGCGGCCCGTTAATTTTTTTAACCAAAAATGGTATTCTGTATCTGTATATATAAATTTTAGAAGCCTGTTAAAAATTATTTATTTAAATGGAGCCCCTTAAAATGACAGGAGAACACTTAAC